CACTGCACTCCAGTCTGGGTGACAGAGTGAGACTCCAACTCAAAAATAAAAAATAAAAAACAACAAAAAAACCCCCCCAAAACCCCATCAAATTCTCTCCCTTTTTTTTAGTCAGAGTTTCACTCTGTCACCCAGGCTAGAGTGCAGTGACATACTTACTGCCACAGCAGCCTCAATCTGCTGGACTCTGGTGATCCTTCCGCCTCAGCCTTCCAAGTAGCTGGAACTACAGGCATGTGGCACCATGCCCAGTTGACTTTTTGATTTATTGTAGAGAAGTGTTGCCATGTTGCTCAGGCTAGTCTTGAACCTGTGAGCTCAGGCATTCCTCTCGCCCCCGCCTCTCAAAGTGCTGAGATTACAGGTCTGAGCCACTGTGCCTGACTCCCATCAAATTTTAACAATTCAAAAGACAAGAACTTTTTCTCATTAACTAATACCTTCTTTTCCCTCATTTTTCATCCCATCACTTTTGTTCTCTTAATACTGATATCATCTACATACTGACCCTAATAAAAACATCAATTTCCTATTTAGGAGACAGTCCATTATTTCAACAAATGTTCCCCAGATCTGTTGACATTCTGTTTCTAACTTTCATTCAAAGATTGAGAATGGAGCTTTGGACCTCTTCCCTACCTTGGGGAGGTGAATCTCTATCCCCTCTCTCGTCTCTCTTTCTTGTTTCTAAATAAACTATATTTTCTAATGTAAAAAAAACACACAAAGATTGAGAAATGATTACCTTACAGCTGCTGTCATTGTAACAGTACCACTTGCAGTTTGGGTTTTTGGCATAAGTGACATAATGGCCCCCACCTAGAATTCCCGAATGGCACTGTAAGAGAGAAGAGAGGAGGGGTACATTAGTAGTTAATTGTACTATGGCTAAAGCATAGCACCAGGATCTGAGCAGGAAAACATTGATCACATGGGTGGTTAAGAAAAAAATGTTCCATGGTGGCTCACATCTGTAATTTCAACACTTTGGGAGGCAGAGGTGGGAGGACTGCTTAAGGCCAGGAGTTCAAGACTAGCCTGGGCAACACAGCAAGACTATCTGCACAAAAAATTTAAAAAATTAGCTAAGTGTGGTGACTGATGCACGCCTGTAGTCCTAGCTTCTCCAGACACTTGAGTCCAGAAGGTCAAGGCTGTAGTGAGCTGTGATCATGCCACTACACTACAACCTAGATGACAGAGTGAGATGAGTGCTTTGGAAGCCTCTAATTTTTTCTAAAAACAAAATGAACAAAAAAACTTAAAAAGTCATAAGCTCCAAATCTTGTATATTCATACAATTTTATAATTGCAATTTTTTTTTTTTTGAGTTGAAGTCTCACTCTGTCACCCAGACTGGAGTGCAGTGGCACGCTCCTGGTCACCGCAGCGTCAACCTGCTGGGCTCCAGCAATCCTTCCATCTCATCCTTCCAAGGAGCTAGAACTACAGGCATGTGCTACCATGTCTGGCTAATTTTTTGTTTTGATTTATTGCAGAGATGAGGTCTCTCCAAGTTGCCCATATGGGTCTCGAACCCGTGGGCTCAGGCAATCCACTCACCTCAGCCTCCCAAAGCACAGGATTATAGGCTGAGCCACCGAACCCGGCAATTGTAATTATTTTTTAGAAAGTAAAACTTTCTTGGGAACACACAACTATTAATGTCTTGAACCTGTGACTCCATTTATAATAATTATATAACTATATCCTGTGTAACACTGTGAGCTCCATAGATTCTATCCAAAAGGTCAGGATTTCTATGTTAACTTTGTCACCAAGTTCAATGCCTAGCCTAGGAAATAAGCAGGACCTGAAAACAATGCTTACTGATGAATAAATGAAGACAAGTGAAAAAACCACTGAGAAGTGCAGACCACTCTTTGAAAACTACACAAAAACCACTTACCGAAATTGCATATAGATTATAAATAGGCTTAATACGAGTATCTTCTCTTTGGTCATCAGTGCTGTCCTCTTCACTGTGGTTTCCAAGCTGACCACTGCCGTAGCCATTGCCACACGCCTCATGCTCATAAAGGAATCCATTGGCCAAAGCCACCTCGTGGTCCTGAGGGGTGACCAGCTCAGGTTGGCTGCCCCCCAGCATATGCCCTCGACTCAGAGCATCAGCCAGCTCACAGATCTGCCCAGCCCCATTCTCTTTGCTGGCATCCAAGTTCTCCTTACTACTTGACAGCTTATTTTTGCTGCCAATCTGGGGTAGCCGGAGTCTCCCTCTGCTTCTCCCCAAGGTCCGTGGGCTGCTGTTAGGGCTGCTGTTTTTGCTAGAGGGACAGCTGGTTCCACTTTTTCTTGATGAAGAAGGTGAACCTGGGAAAGGAGAGAAGGAATGAGTCATAAATCCTAACACCACAAGTTAAGCTAGTCACCAAATGCTAACTTTGAAACTGACTTCACAAATGTACACATAAAGGTAAAGACCAGGAGAGTCATGACTTTTTAGTTCCTATTATGTAGCCAGTAAGTTACATTTTTGTCTTCCTCAATGCCAAGTCCCTCTAGGCAACAATGTTCTGAAAATATAAAGTATGCTGCAGGGGCTTAGAAAACAGCAGAAAGGTGATTTATGTCAGCTTCACTTCAAAACAGTATAATTATTGGGTGTTTTACAAACATATAGTCTTCTCCTTTGTAAAACTATGCAAAAATATATGACCACCATTTATTAAGTACTTATTGTACTAGGAATTCTCTTTCTCTATTATCTCTACCTCTCACAAAAATCCTGTAAGTCAGCAGGTCTTCAACATTTTTGACATAGTCCCCTACCCTCTTTTATGCTCTTAAAATTATTGAGGATCCCTAAAACATTTTTTTTTTGAGTCAGAGTCTCACTCTGCCATCCAGACTGGAGTGCAGTGGTACGCTCATGATCTCCTAGGCTCAGGTGATCCTTCTTCCTCAGTCTTCCAAGTAGATGGAACTATAGGCATGCACCACCATGCCCGGCTAATTTTTTGATTTATTGTAGAGACGAGGTCTCGCCAAGAAATTAACCTGAGCTCAGGCAATCCTCCTGCCTCTGCCTTCCAAAGTGCTGGAATTACAGGTGTGAGTCACTGTGCCAGGCAGAACATTTGGTTAAAAGAATTTTACTGGGCTGGGTGCGGTGGCTCAGCCTGTAATCCCAGCACTTTGGGAGGCTGAGGTGAGAGGACTGCCTCTGCCTGAGCTCAGGGATTTGAGACCAGCCTGGGCAACTTAGTGAGACCTTGTCTCTACAATAAATAACAAAAATTAGCCGGGTGTGGTGGCATGCATCTGTAGTTCCAGCTACTTGGAAGGCTGAGGTGGAAGAATTGCCTAAGCCCAGCAGGTTGAGGCTGAGGTGGCCGTGACTCCAGCCTGGATGACAGAGTGAGACTCTAACTCAAAAAAAAAAAAAAAAAAAAGAT